GACAGTCTAGCTTCTGCCTGAACCCATCCATTGAAGGAGAGCCCATCATCTTTCTAATAATTCATCTTGGAAATGGGCACTAATGAAGTTTCAAAATTCTCCCACAGATTTGTGAACCATGAAATTGACTGGACAATATCTTTAGAGAAAGGAAAAATTCTTTTTGATGACACAGTCTCTTCTCAATGGTGCAACTGAACAATTCTCATGGGAGGAGCTACCTCATAGTTCTTCGCCTACTGAAGCTTCTTTACTTCAAGTTGTTCTTAAGGTGCTGTAGAGTCCCTAGATGATGATGATGATGATGATGATGACGACTTCTTCATGTCTCTGAATCCTCTTCAGTTGCCCACGTTTCTTGATCTGCAAAAGTCCCATATGTGATTCCCTCATCAGGTCTTCTCTTGGAACTGAATGGAGGTGAGGGAAGTCAAGGAGGTTTCAGAATGCTGAAGAGATAATTGTAGAACAAAAGAAAGGGCGTTTATACATGTCCATATGCACACACCTTTGGATACTTTGTCCCCAAATAAGTGCAAGAACACTTAATAGAATCTTAGAATATTAGAGTTAGAAGGGATCATAAGGATCATCAACCCTCTGTAATGCACAGAAAAAAATTTCATCACCCTTGGGAGATGGCCATCCAACCTTTTCTTAAAAACCTCCAGAAGGAGAAACTCACAGCCTTCACAAACTGTTTCCCTGTTGTACAGATCTTACTATCAGGATGTGCTTCCTTTAATTTAAATGAAATCTTGGTGGATGCAACTTATATCCATTATTTTTGGTCCCAATTTCTATAGCTTTGGAAAAGAGTTCCTGAACTCTTCCCTATGGCACCCTTTTATACACCACTCAGTCTTCTTTTCTCCAGACTGAACACCCCCAGTTATTTCAGCCTGTCTTCATAGAGTATGTCTTCAAGTCCCTATATCAACTTTTTCACCCTCCTCTGAACTTGTTTGAATCTCTCAATATTCTTCTGGAAATGCGGTGCCCAGAATTGTATATGATACTTCAAGTGTGATCTCGTCAGGGCAGAGTAGAGGGGAAAAAGGATTTCATATAATTTTGATGCAGTGCTTCTTCTGAGGCAGCTCAGAACTGTGTTAGCCTTTTTAGGAGCTGGCTCACTGTAATGGGCTGTGAGAATAACCTTAGCCAAGACAACAGTCAGATAAGAGAAATCTGAGTCCAAAACAGAAATGTGGTTTGAGAAAACATCTCAGACTTGACCCTCCCTAGTTCTTTTGTACATAAAGGCAGGGAGGGGAGAGGGAGACTTACAAGATTCTGTTACTGCAATCTTATAATAAAAGTAGTATTGGCATTCATACCTTTGGTTCCCCTGTCTGGTCTCCATTGAAGGGCTGACACTCACACCACTGGAAAATGTTCAGCTTGTTGTAGGTGACCAAGTTCTTCCAAGTCATGAATCCCCCATTTCGTACATGTGACCTATATTTTTTCTTCCCGAAAAGTAATATCTCACATTTCTTCTTGTTGAAGGACACGTTGTTCTTCTCATCCAGATCTCCCAACCTATCCAGATCAGGTTGCCCATGAAAAAATCACCCAATTTTCTCCTCCTTTGAAAAAAAGGAAGACATTGAAAGTGACTGTCCCCCTGAAACTGAATAAGAACTACACCCCACTCCCCCGGAGACTAATTTTATCAGCATGGAGGAAACTAACCAAATGAGCTGTCAATAAATTCTCTTCCAATGTTTGCTGGCGTCACTGTGGCTTCTAGAGAGAAAAACGGAATCCCAGTGATTTAATATACCGAGCCGAATGATCCAGATTTGGCTCGGCCTCATGAGGAATTAATTTTCTGATTTCTGGGTTACTTTGGTTTTGTATTTGTTTTCCAAATTCCATGAGGGTGGCTACGTGGCGGAGGTAAATTTCCAGTGACAGCTGGCAAAGAGTAAGGGCAAATTCAGACAATCAAAGACGACAGTGGCTTTACTTAATTAACTAATGGCCTGCACAGAGATGTAACGGGATTTGAAAAGAGAAAGCTTTTAAGCAAGATTCAAAGCCAGCAGATCTGCAATAGTAAAACTTCCTCCTCCCGTCCCCCCACTCCTCCTTTCTGAGATCCACAGCTCAGTGCTGGGAAGCCCAAATACTATCAGTTGTGCTTGTATGCGATGGGTGTACTCCCCCTGCTGCTTCTGAGCTGCAACTGCATCCAATATCACACCAGAAAAAGCACAATTTTTCAGAAAAACATAGAAAAAACCCTGCTAAGGCTCATCTCATGTTTCCCATAGAGTGTAATGGCATGCAGAAATGACCTTGGGAGACAAGAAGAAGAGCCGCAGATTGGACAACTATCATGTAAAAGATATCTCAGTCCACAGAAGCATGGGGGGAGGTGTGGGAAGTATTTCAGGAGGGGCCCTCCCTAGTTTTCCAGAGAGTAAAAGGAAAGGAGGGGAGAAATACTTTCAGTCTTGCAA